TTATAATCTGTTAAATGGGCACAGTCACACTAGTGCTGCCTCTTAAGGTTGTAGTAAGGGCTGTTACTGTGTGAAAAGCGTTTGGAGCTGTACCTTACTGCTAACACACGCCGAGTGAGCACTCCGTGCGAGGGAGCTACATGGTGTTTTTATTATTCATCCGCGGGAGCTACATTGTGTTTTTATTATTCATCCGCGCTCCCTTGGCAGGTGTAGCCGGTACACATTGCTGGCTTCTTCCACCACTTGGAAGAATCAGGAGCTAGTTCTTACCTCCTCCTCCCCTAGAGAGATCCTTTCCAACCAAAACCACAAAAGAAAGGCAGATGCATGGCTCGTTTGCTATCAAGTGCTTGGAATTGGCTTAGGTACCAGTTTAAATCATGTCAAGCAGTCAGAGATGGTTTCCCTAATCCCCAGTTAGGAGATGGAGAATCACTTTGAAACTCCAGGGCTGTGACTTCGGGTCCTGCAGGGCTAGTCTGGCATTCCACGGAGCCTGACCTCAATAGCTACAGACTAGCTCTGCCAGTGAATTTTAGGGAATTTTGTACCACATTAATCATCTTCAGAGTTGGGGAAATAGTCTTTAAATTTGTCCATTTCCTCCTTATCCCTATAGTGTGAGTCCATGGAGAATTTCCGTGTGTGAATTTTAGCAGGAAGCACCTGAGCGCCTTCTAGCTCAGGTTCTTATCTGATATTTCACAAGAAGGCCCCAAAAGTTGTCTGTTCGAAAGCCAATATTTCCCCTTTTGTTCTTTTTTCTAAATTACAACCGATTTTTTTTTTTTTAATTTCCTATCTGGGATCCATGACAGTATGTGAAATACTTGGGGTACAGAAGTGAGAAAAGAATCTTAAAGATTAACCACTAGAGAAGTTCCTTTCATGAGATGAAAAAAAATTAATTTTCTGCATATATATATATATATATATATATATATTTTTTTTTTTTAGTTATGTAACAAAAGTCTCATAAGTTTCTTCAGTTTCTGTTTCTGGGTGTGGACAGAAAACATTCCAGGCCTGTCTGAGCTAAAAACTAGCCGTGGCACTAACTTAGTTTTTAAGGCTGTGTTCATTCATGAACTACAGAGGCCTACAACCAGGAGAAAAACTTTATGTACTGTCTCTTAAGGGGCAGGAGCATTTTAGGTATTTAAATATTTCTTTGCATAGTGTTTGAGGGAATAAAATACATTAGATCTGAGTTTGGGGGTTTGTTTTTAAAGACCTTTTTTTTTTTTTTTTGTAGAGAAGTTTTAGGCTTGTAACCAAGTTGAGAGGAAGATAGAGATTTTCCAAATATCCGCTGCCCTCACAATTCATAACCTCCCCCATCATCAACATCCGTCCCCTCCCCCCCCACCAGAGAGATATATGTTTGTTACAGTTGATGAACCTGCACTGATACATCCTGATCACTCAAAGTCCATTTACCTTCAGGCTCACTTTTGGTGTTGTATATTCTGTGGGTTCGGACAAATGTATTATGACATATATCTATCGTTATAATATCATGCAGAGTATTTTCATTGTCCTAAAAAAATCCCCTGTCCTCTGCCTGTTTATTCATCTTTCCCTCTACAACGCCTGCAGCCGCTGATCTTTTCATTGTCTCCATAATTGTGCCTTTTCCAGGATATCCTAGAGTTGGAATCGTACAGCGTGTAGCCTTTTCACATTGGCTTCTTTCACTTAGTTAATACACATTTAAGTTTCCTCCATGTCTTTCCATGGCGTGATACCTCTTTTTTTTTTTTAATGCTGAATAATATCCCATTGTGTGGATGCACCACGGTTGATTTCTCCATTCGCCTGCTGAAGGATGTCTTAGTTGCTTCTGAATTCTGGCAATTATGAATAAAGCTGCTATAAACGTTTGATGTACAACTGCTATAAAATTGATGTACATTTTCAACTCCTTTAGGTAAATACCAAGGAGCACAATTGCTGATCATATAGGAAGAGTAGGTTTAGTTTTGTACGAAGCCACCAAACTGTGTCCCAAAGTGGCTGTACCATTTTGCATTCCCACCAGCAGTGAATGAGAGTTCCTGTTGCTCCATACCATCCCCAGCATTTGATGTTGTCAGTGCTCCGGATTTTGGCCATGCTAATAGGTGTGTAGTGATATCTTGTTGCTTTAATTTGCATTTCCCAGATGACATATGATGTGGGACGTCTTTCCATAGGCTTCTTTGCCATCTGCTAATCTTCTTCGGTGAGGTGCCTATGAAAGTCTTTAGCTCATTTTGTAATTGGGTTGTTTTCTTACTATTTTAAGAACTCTTGGGGCGCCTGGGTGGCTCAGTTGCTTGAATGTCCGACTCTTGATTTTGGCTCAGGGCATGATCCCTGGGTCATGGGATCAAGCCCTGCATCAGGCTCCATGAGCGGGAAGCCCGCTTAAGATCTTTTCTCTCTCTCCCTCTGTCCCCTCTCCCCTGCTTACACTCTCTCTTTCTCTCTCTCTCAAAAAAAAAATTCTTTGTATATATATATTTTTTAATTTATTTAGTTTTTATTTAAGTAATCTCTACACCCAACATCGGGGCTCAAACTCATGACCCCGAGATCAAGAGTCACATGCTCTTCTGATGGAGCCAGCCAGGCACCCTGAATTCTTTGCATATTTTAGAGAACTATCCTTTATAAGATAGACATGTCTTTTGCAAACATTTTCTCCGAGTCCGTGGCTTCTTTTTCTTACTCTCTTGCTATTCATTTTTACAGGGCAGAAATTTTTTTTGATGTTTGTTTATTTTTGTGAGAGAGACAGACAGAGTGCGAGCAGGCTCCAGGCTCTGAGCTGTCAGCACAGGGCCCAACGCGGGGCTCAGACTCAGGAACTGTGAGATCATGACCTGAAGCAAAGTCAGATGCTTAAGCGACTGAGCCACCCAGGTGCCCCAGCAATTTTCAATTTGAGTGAAATCTAGGTGATTGGTTATTTCTTTTATATAGATCACATCTTTGGTGTTCTATCCAAAAAGTCGCCGCCACACCCCAGCTCATCTAGGTTTTCCCCAGTGTTATCTCCTAAGAGTTTTGTAAGTTTGCACCTTACATTTAGGTTTGTGATCCACCGTGAGGTTGGTTTTGTGAATGGCGTAAGGACCGTGTCAGGATTCACTTCTTGGCACGTGGACATCTTGTTGTTCCAGCACCATTTGTTGAAGAGACTATCTTTGGCCCCATTGTATTGCTTTTGCTCCCTTGTCAAAGATCAGTTGACTCTATTTATGAGAGTGGATCTGAGTTTTAGAAAACCTGATTTGCAGCAGAATCCCCTGGAGAATTGCTGCCAAAGTGCTCACTCCTAGGCCCTGGGCCACACCCGCTAAGTAGGAATCTCAGGAGAGGGCTTGAGGAATCTTCATTGTATGCGGCTATAGGTGATTCTGAGGTAACAAGTCAAGAGTTTGGAACTCGTTACTCCTGGTTCGTTGGTTTGTTTTTTTTTTTTTTAAATATATGAAATTTACTGTCAAATTGGTTTCCATACAACACCCAGTGCCCATCCCAAAAGGTGCCCTCCTCAATAGCATCACCCACCCTCCCCTCCCTCCCACCCCCCATCCACCCTCAGTTTGTTCTCAGCTTTTAACAGTCTCTTAGGCTTTGGCTCTCTCCCACTCTAACCTCTTTTTTTTTTTTTTTCTTTCTTCTTTTCTTTTTCCTGGTTCGTTTTTAAATTTGTCTTCCTTTCTGTAGAAACCTTTGCACGACTCCCATTGTGGCTGACGTAAGGCTTGACTCTGTCTTCTGCCAGGTAGTACAAGAGAGAATCCTTGGATAGCCTAGACAGAAAAGTGTAATGAGTGCCTTCTGTCCGCCTGTGCTGTGCTAGGTGCTGGTGATCAATGGGGAAAGGTACGTGTAGAGGTTCGAAATGGGAAATGAGACGCCAGCAGACCTGGTTACAAAGGCATTGAAAGCTACGTGGTGGAGTAAGACACTTAGAAAACCACTGTATCCTGGAACGTTCACCTGGCAGTGATTGGAAGGCACTAATAACAAAGGTCAGGGGGGTCAGTCTGAAAAGGACAGGAAGCCCGAAGTGATCAGGGCGTGAGACAAGGTGAGGGTCACAGGAATGTCGCAGGAGAGACTCCAAGAAGCTTTGTGGAGGAAGAAATGACAGAATTTGGTGATGGAATATAGGCAAACGGGGGGGGGGAAGAAGGGGGGAAAGGGTGATTTCAAAGGCTGTAATCTAGGAGCCCAGAGAAAACGAGCTCTGACTGATGGGAACGGGGAAGGTTAGAAGAAAGGCAATTTAGCAGGGAAGAGAGGGCATAAGGACGTTGGCTTTGACGCCAGAGTGGAACACACAAATGGAGCAGTTAAAAATCTGGGACTGGCTCCAAGGAATCCCCAGTGTAGAAATTCTAGTTGAGGGATTGAAATGGTAAACCGGGGAAAGATGGATGAGGGCGTAAGCCGTAGAAAGGAATGTGCACGGGGCCGAGGACTGGATGTGAACCCTCTGAGAAGAGAGAAGGGGGAGGAGAAGCCAAGAAAACAATGCAGGCAGACAGAAGGGCCAGAGGAGAGCCACAGAATTCAGCACGTGAGACATTTTCAAGAAGCATACAACTTCTCATCCTGGCCTCGGAACATCCCTCATACAGACGAGGGAAAGGAGGCAGGGCTCCATAGCTATTGAAAGTAGCAGGGGTCGGGGCGCCTGGCTGCTTCAGTCGGTAGAGCATGTGACTCTCGATGTTGGGGTTGTGAGTTCGAGCCCTACATTGAGTGTAGAGCTTACTTAAAAAAACAAACAAGTGTTCATCGAAAAGGAACCTTCGTTTCTTCCTAGAGTATGAAACAGAGCCACATTATAAAACAGGGTTTTAAGAAAAGCTATCTTTCCATATTGCAAATACTGCTTTTCGTGGTCCTCTTCAGTCATTGAAAAGCAAATGTCTGCCTTTGTTTCCTGAATACCTTGTTACAAATAATCCAGAAGGTTGTCTCCTTATATCTTGCAGGCACAGCAGCCTGGGAAAAATTCTTCAGTGTGAAAACATCTATAGAGAAGGTCAACACATTGGTTGTTCCTTTGCTTTGACTAATTTGAAGGATTCCAGTTTTGAACAACACAGCGTGCAAATAGTGGTCAAGGATAACGCGGGGAGAATTAGACCATCCTTCAATATAGTGCCTTTAACTTCTCATGGTAAGTTTTAGAAGTCCCGCACGACAGTGTGGATAAAAAGCATTACGTCTTTTGAACCATCGATACAGATACTAAAAATGTGACGATTCTGGTTTTAGGATGTTCCCAGAAAAAAGGATTGCATTTATGTATACCTTTATTTGAGTTCTTTTAAAAGAAGCAGGCTTGCAAATTCTAATGGTTCTTGAGCCCGTGTGTCACATGTTTTGTTCTTATTTGCTTCTGAGTGTGTTCAGACTTAGAGCACCCAGTTAGCTGTAGAACCGAGATTGGGTACAGGCTCTCTGTCTTTTAAGATCCGCTCTCTTTTAGGGGTACCTGGGTGGCGCAGTCCGTTGAGTGTCCAACTCTTGCTTTCGGCTCGAGTCGTGATCTTGCAGTTCGTGGGATCGAGCCCCGTGTCGGGCTCTGCACGGTCAGCTTGAGATTTTCTCTCTCCCTCTCTCTCTCTCTGCCCCTCTCCCTCTCTCTCTCTCTCTGCCCCTCTCCCCCTCCCCCCCATTTCAAAATAAATAAACGTAAAAAAAAAAAATCTCTTCTTTTACTTATGACACTTGAGAGTCCCTTAGTTGAAAAAAGGACTGGGCTGGAGGAGGAGTGACCAGAAGTGATACTCAAACCAGCTGGCGTGCTGGGCAGCACAGGCAGCCAGCAGTCAGAGCAACCAAAGCAGCCGAGTGTCGGCCCATTAGAAAGAGGCCTCGAGGTGAAAACAAAATGTCTGCTTGAGGTCCTAGGTCTTCACATCGGACAAAGCATATACTCTCTCTCAGCGTTTCCTGGAGAGTCCCTCTGACCTCAAAGGATTGTCATGAGTTCCAAATGATGTGAGGTATATACGTGTTCTGTAAGTCCCTAAAGCAGGCTACTGTAAGCATCATGTGTATTTATGTGTTGCAAGGTCCCGACAGGGAGCTCAGATTCTGGCTGAGAGAGATACAGAAAATATATCAGCAGATAACCATGCACTGACCAGGTTCCCAAGTCTGCGACTGGAACACTATTTACCACTCCTTCAGATAGTCGTGGAAGTGAATTCTTTTTTAAAATTTTTTTTCTTTTTTCAACGTTTATTTATTTTGGGGACAGAGAGAGACAGAGCCTGAACGGGGGAGGGGCAGAGAGAGAGGGAGACACGGAATCGGAAACAGGCTCCAGGCTCTGAGCCATCAGCCCAGGGCCTGACGCGGGGCTCAAACTCACGGACCGCGAGATCGTGACCTGGCTGAAGTCGGACGCTCAACCGACTGCGCCACCCAGGCGCCCCTTTTTTTTTAAAAAAAAAATTTTTTTTTTCAACGGAAGTGAATTCTACTAGTGGACCGAAGGCCAGGGGAGTGAGGTCGTGGTAACTTGCCAAGTGGGATAATCTGAGCCCTTCTCTGTCCTGCCTCTTGCTTGGCCGATTATCCTTGACGGACCTTTCAAAGCTCGTTTTCCTATCCTTCATCCTGGAGATGAGTGGTGCCAGAAAGGGAGATCCTCCGCAGCTGGAAGATGATAGCTTCAAGTTGTTTTCTGTCATTGTCCATTCTCTTCCTCCTCCTCTTCTTCGTCGTCGTCTTCTTATTCTTCTTTGTCGTCGTCGTCGTCGTCTTCTTTTTATTTTTGAGAGAGAGAGAAAGCACATGCAAGTGGGGGAGGGGCAAAGAGATAGAAGGAGGCGGAGAGAATCCCAAGCAGGCTCCGCACTGTCAGCGTGGAGCCTGATGTGGGGCTCAAACTCATGAACTGTGAGATCGTGACCCGAGCTGAAATCAGGAGTCGGACTCTAAACTGACTGACCACCCAGGCACCCCCTCATCCGAATTCTTTTCTGTTGCTTAGTCTTAAGCATAGTTGACTCATTAAAAAGTAAATGGACTAGGCTAGTTTTTTTACTTTATTTAAAAAAAAAATTTAATGTTTATTTTTGAGAGAGAGAGAGAGAGAGAGAGAGAGAGAGAGAGACAGCATGAGCAGGGAAGGGGCAGAGAGAGAGGGAGACACAGAATCCAAAGCAGGCTCCAGGCTCTGAGTTGTCAGCACAGAGCCTGACGCGGGGCTCAAACTCGTGAACCACGAGATCATGACCTGAGCCGAAGTCAGACACTCAACCAACTGAGCCACCCAGATGCCCCCTTTTTTTACTTTATTTTTAATTGTGGTTATAATCATATAACATTAAATTTCCCATCGTAACCATTTTTTAAAAATACTTTTAAAGTTTATTTATTTTGAGAGAGAGAGAGAGAGAGAAAGTGAGTGTGGGGGAGGGCAGAGAGAGAATCCCAAGCAGGCCCCGAACCATCAGCATAGAGCCGGATTCAGGGCTCGAACCCATGAACCGTGAGATCATGACCTGAGCTGAAAGCAAGAGTCGGTCGGTTAACTGACTCAGCCACCGAGGCACCCCTCCCGTCATAACCATTTTTGACTATACGGTTCAGGTGTCAAGTATATTCACACTGGCGTGCAACAGACCTCTAGAACTTTCTCAAATCTTTTTAGAACTGAAACTCGATGCCCACTAAACACTGATTTCCCCTCCCCCAGCCCTTGGTAACCAGCTTTCTATTTTCTATGATTTTGACTACTTTAGGTACCTCTTCTGGGTGGAATCCTACAGTGATGGGCTTATTTCACTTAGCTTACGGTCCTTGAGGTTCATCCGTGCCGTGGCGTGTGACAGAGACTAGGCTAATGTTTTAATTGGGGTCTTTGCGTAAGTGAGTGGCGCCTGGGGAAACCCCTTGTGCCCGGTGCCCCCCGTTATCCATTAGGTGGATGCACATGTGGACCTAAGGGCTTCTTTTCTTTATTCTCTGTCACAGCTAGATGTCCTGATTATACCCCATCCGTGTTCTAACCGGATGCAGGTCAGAGTTCACGTCACCTTCCAGACACCCTGAAGATGTTCATTAGGTCCATTTGGCGAGGCAGCTTAAAATAAGCTTTCTCCGTTCATTGTGACCTTCATTATCTCTACCCGTGTATGAACCTCATCAAAATGAACCCTGGAAGCTAACATGTATGCTTCTATTTCTGTCTTTCAGTGAAACCTGATCCCCCACATATTAAACGGCTCTTCTTCCAAAATGGTAACTTGTACGTGCAATGGAAGAATCCACAGAATTTTTATAGCAGATGCTTATCTTATCAAGTAGAAGTCAACAACAGCCAAACAGAGACGCATGATATTTTCTACGTAAGTTTTTCTTAGCTAGTTGATGTAACTTGGCTATTTTTCTGTCACTCGAGTTTCTTACAGGGTAATATACTGAAATGTCAGTGAAATGCAGCTCCTAGATTTGCTACCTGATGATGACGGTAATGAACTTTCTCGTCTGAAATAGGGCGTGGTGGGAGCTTTGAGGGTTTACGGTAGTGGCACTGGCCGTCAGATTCAAGCCATTCGTTGATTCATTTGCTGAACGCATTTTCAGTACATATCTACCACGTGCCGGGCGCTGTTTTAGGTGCACGTGACCCTGACGCGGAGGTCTTTTTTTCCCATGAAACCTCCCTACTGGAAAATGAGTATGTAAATGAGCAAGCTGATGTCAGAGCATGAAGGCTGTGAAGAAAATTAAATAGGTCATGTAGTGGCATGACAGGCGGGCCTGAGGGAATATGAGGTTGGGCAGTCATCTGAAGTGATGACATTGGCGATGAGACCAGAATGACGGGCAGGGGCTAGCCATGTGAAGATCTGGGGGTGGGGGGAACAGCCAGTACAAAGACTCTGAGGCAGGAACGGGCTTGGCCTGTGTGAGGCACGGACAGGAGACTCGGGTGGCCAAAATACAGTAGGAAAAGACGCGTAAGCGGGAGGCCGGGGTCCGATCGGGTAGATGCTTCGAGGCTCTGGTATGGCCATTCCCTTTCCTTGGAGTTTGTGGCAACTAAGGTAGTCCACTTTGAGGAGTCCGTATTTGTTGGCGTATGTACATTTACGCTCCTGGGAAGCTAATACAAAACATACTAATTCGCGGTCCCCGTGGGCCACCGGCCATAACAGGATGTGGTGTAACCTCAGGGCGTCAGTCCCATTCTTCCGCTTTACAGGAGAGGTCACACACTTGGGCCTTAAACATATTTGTTTGGACCACAGGCACGGTGGGGGTTCGTTTGTTAAATTTGACGGAGGCAAACCATAAGAGGCTTTTAAATACAGAGAACAACCGAAGCGTTGCTGGAGGGACGTGGGTGGGGGATGGGCTAAACGGGCAACGGGCCTTAAGGAGGGCGCTCGTTGGGATGAGCACTGGGGTTTCTGTGTGAGCGCTGCATCGCTAAATTCTACTCCCGAAGCCTAACTTGGATTGAAATAAATACATTTAAGAAACCAAAACAACAACGACGACAAAATTGGGAAATTTTGCCCAGATTCAAATACCCTGGCCCCCGAGGAGTGTAGTTTCCATGAGGTGGCGCCACAAGACCACAGGGGCCGGGCCGTGGCTGGTGTGCCACCTGCCGGCGGTGGGGGGGCGTGGGGGGGGCGGGGGGGGCGTGTGCATTTGCATCTCAGAGGTTAGAGCCCGAGTGTTTCGTATTGGCTTTTAAAGGACCCCGGCATCTCGCACGTGGGCACATGCTTTGGTCCAGTTGTTTTGGCTCATCGTGGGAGTTTCAAAATACTTACTAAAATAAGCCACTGTTGACAGGCTGTAATTCAGAGGGAGTGGCCAGGTCCACAGCTGACCGGAGCGTTTCTGGGCATCTGCAGGTGAATCTGTTTGCCGAAATAGAACCACCATTATCCGTACCAGAAAGTGGTGTCCCCGTACCGTGCTGCAAAGGGAAAGAGCAAAGGGCTTCCAAGTGGGGAGAAGGTGAGGCTTGGATTTATGGCGGAGTCAGCTTGTCAGAGCGCTGAAGCATACTTGACTACTCCAGCCTCTCCTGCTCTCTTCTGCCTGAAATCCTGAGACACATGCTGCTCGTATTACTCATTTGGCACCGAATTGTGTCCTGCGAGTTACCCTGATCACATGTTTGAGCCTTTTCTCTTGACTAAAAATAAAAGCTCCTGCAGGGAGGACTTCGGGGGTGTTTACTTTGTGCCACTCCCGCTAACAGTGGCTAGCACAGATCGAGCGATTACTATGTGCTAGGCATTTTATTTTTTAAATGTTTTCTGGAGAGAGAGAGAGAGAGCGAGCATGCGAGTGGGGGGTGGACAGGGACAGAGGGAGAGACAGAGAGAGAAAATCCCGAGCAGGGACTCTCCACGCTCAGCATGGAGCCCGATGCGGGGCTCGATCCCACGACCCCGGGCTCGCGACGTGAGCAGACATCAAGAGTCGGCGGCTCAACTGACTGAGCCACCCGGGCCCCCCTGTGGTAGGCATCTTAATGGACACATTATCTCAACCCTTTCTTGTAATCCTCACGGTTACCCTGACGATCTAGGTCCTATCATTTTGTCCCCATTTCACAGATGAGCAAATGTGATCTGACCCCAAAGCTTGTGCTCGTAAGCACTGGGGACCACCTCAATACTTCCTCTTAATAGTAACAGCCATCCCTTGTTAAGTGTTCATGATATGCTACAAAGCTACTCTTCTAGGTGCTTCTTATACAGTAGCATATAACAGTCTGTGAAGTGGTTCTATTTTAATCTATATTTTATTGGGAAACTAAGGCTCAGAGAGGGTAAGTAACTTGCTACAGGCCACACAGCTAATCAGTTGGTCTTTATGTAGTCAAAGGTTGGTCCTGATGTATTAAACTTTGAGAATATTTGGGATTAACACCATTTGCACGGTCATCACTTAATAAATTATTGTCGAACTGAGTTAATCTTTTTTACAAACTTTTGAACTGAAGAGCGTGTACATGCTATGGAATTTGTCCTCCTAAATCAGAACTGTAGCCTATTGGGAATTAACTCTGTTTACACATTTGAGCCGAACGTTCTTTCCCCTGGCAGATGTTCACCAGCTGCTTCCTCTCCCAGAATGTCATCAGCTTTTTGTACGCTCACTGATTTTGAGCTCCTCTGGTTAGACCCTTCCCCCCGCCCTGTTTTTTGCGAGCCTTTTTGAGGAATTATTTCGCCTGGTGTTCTAGTTAAGAGGGGGAAGTAGGCTGGGACATGAGCTGGTGCCATCACATGGGGGCTGTGGTCAGAAGTAACTCATGACAGAATCACAAAGCAAAGAATGACTCTTGTTTAACCACCCCCCTTCTCCACAAACTCTCTGCTTGGTCCTCTGTGCCCTTGTCTTCCTTCTCCCACAGGGGTATCTGAGCAGCCCATAAACTATGCAAGGGAATTTACATTTGAACAAGAGCCCAGAACCTTCCATTTGTGCCGTGATTTGCTGATGTTTGGAATACATATATATCTGGGAGATGGTCATGAGGAGGGAGACACGAACCTGCAACCCGATCCATCAAGTGGTAGTTGACGCTTGTGATTCCCCAGCAGGTCTCTGATTCCCAAGTGGCCTCTTCCCTGCCCTGGAAGAAGTAGCGATAAGACAACTCTCCATCACTCAGCTGGCCTTCCAGCTCATCACAAATGCTGCAGGGAACCATTTAGTGAATAACATGCACGGTCAAAAATCATAGCTCTGTGTTCTGGTTTTTGTCTCGTGTTTAAGCGTCTCTTTGATAAAAGGTGACTGTTTCTTCCAGCTTTGTTGAGGTATGATGGACAAGGAAAAAGTATATATATTTGGGTTGTACAGTGTGATTACTTTCAAGGTGTACAACATGATAACTTCATATGTGTATATCTTGTGAAATGATTACCACAATCAAGTTAATTAACACATCCATCACTTCACACAGTTACCTTTTTTTTAATGTTTATTTATTTACCTTGAGAGAGAAAGCATGCATGTGTGCCTGCGTGAACGAGGTGGGCGGGGGGGGGGGGCTTGAGAGAGAGAGAGAGAGAGAGAGAGAGAGAGAGAATCCTAAGCAGGCCCTGTGCTCAGCGTGGATCCTGATGTGGTGCTCGATCTCATGACCATGAGATCATGTCCTGAGCCAAAATCAGGAGTCGGATGCTTAACCAACCGAGCCACCTAGGTGCCCCCACAGTTACCTTTTTTTAAGTAGTGAGAACGCTTAAGATCTACTCTCTTAGCAAATTTCAATTATACAGTACGGCATTATTAACTACAATCACCACTCTGTACATTAGATCCCCAGAACTTATAACTAAAAGCTTGTACCCTTTCACCAACATCACCCCATTCCCCCCTTGTCCCTCAGCCCCTTCTGCCACCGTTCCACTTTTAGCCTCTACGAACTCAACTTTAAAAACAATTTTTTTTAACTTTTTAATGTTTATTTATTTTGAGAGAGAGGCAGAGAGTGAGCAGGGGAAAGGCAGAGAGAGAGGGAGACACAGAATCCGAAGCAGGCTCCAGGCTCCGAGCTGTCAGCACAGAGCACAACGTGGGGCTCGAATCCACGAACTGTGAGATCATGACCTGAGCCGAAGTCAGATGCTTAACCCACTGAGCCACCCAGGTGCCCCTGAACTCAACTTTTGTAGATTCCGCATATATATGAGGTCATACGGTATTTGTCTTTCAGTGCCCCCTGAGTTTCATCCATGTTGTCACAAATGGCAGGATTTTTCCTTCTTTCTCACGGCTGGATGATATTCCATCATATATACATACCACATCTTCTTTCTTCATCTATGGGTGGACACTTTGCATATCTTGGCTATGGTAAATAATGCTGCAGTAAACATAGGGGTGCATGTACCCCTTTGAATTAGTGTTTTGGTTCCTTTTGGGTAGTGTGATTATTGGATCATAGGGCAATTCTATTTTTAATGTTTTGAGAAACCTCCATACCGTTTTCCACAGTGGCTGCAACAGTTTGCGTTCCCACCAGCAATGCAAAAGAGATCCCCTTTCTCCACATCCTCACCGACACTTGTTATTTCTTGTCTTTGACGTTGGCCATTCTAATAGGTATAAGATGATGCCTAATCGTGGTTTTGATTTTCATTTCCCTGATGATTAATGATGTTGAACATCTTTTCATGTAACCTGTTGGCCAGAAGTAGACTACTTATACTAAGCAACAGATTTTCACTATTGATTTTTCACTGCACTTTTGAAATATTTGCATTTTAGGAACTGATCTTTCTGTCTACATCAGACAGCAAGTGATTCAAATTGTGTGGAAGAGAATTTTGCATTATACTTTGTTTTCTCTGACTCAGTCGTTTTCGATATCATACTCTCAACAAGGGAGACTGGGTTTTTTTTGTAAACTTTTTTTTTCAACGTTTTTTTTTTTTATTTATTTTTTTATTTTTGGGACAGAGAGAGACAGAGCCTGAACGGGGGAGGGGCAGAGAGAGAGGGAGACACAGAATCGGAAACAGGCTCCAGGCTCTGAGCCATCAGCCCAGAGCCTGACGCGGGGCTCGAACTCACGGACCGCGAGATCGTGACCTGGCTGAAGTCGGACGCTTAACCGACTGCGCCACCCAGGCGCCCCTAAACTTTTAATTGATGTAGAGTATCCTATAGAAAAATCACACAACTGGTTATGCATAGCTCAATGAGTTTTCACAAGTGATTTTTGCAAATGATTTTTCATTTATGTAACCAGCACCCCAGAAGCCCCATCATGACTCCTTTTAGTCACTCTCCCAACGCGTGACTGTTACCCTGACTTCTGATCCCATAGATTAGTTTTGTTGCCTCTTTTTATTTTTATTTATTTGTTTTTAAAGTTTATTTATTTATTTTGAGAGAGAACAAGTGAGCAGGGGAGGGACAGAGGGAGAGGGAGAAAGAATCCCAAGCAGGCTCCACGCTGTTGGCGCAGAGCCCGATGCGGGGCTCGATCTCATGAACTGTGAGATCGTGACCTGAGCCAAAACTAAGGGTTGGGTGCCTGACTGAGCCACCCGGGCGCCTCTGTTGCCTCTTTGAAGCCTTGTATGAACGAATTCTCCAGCGTTTGCTTTTTGTGCGCGTCTGCCTTCTTTCACCCAGCGTTCCGTTTAGGAAGAGCCACAGACATCGTTGCCTGTAGTTGTCAGTGTTTCGTTCTCACTGCATTGGTTCTGTCATGTCGGTATTATCACATTTGATTTATCCATTCTCCCTTTGGGGCCTATTTGGATAGTTTCCGGTTGGGAGTTTTATGAATAGAGTTTTTATGAACATTTGCGTATTTGTCTCTTGGTGCGCACGTGCGTACGTTTCTGTTGAGCCTGTATGGGTCAGAGGGTTATATGTGATGGTCTCTAAGTGATGATCAGACTTTTCCCAAATGGTCGTGCCCATTTACACCATGAAGAGCAGAAGCTGAGGACGCTAGGTGCTTCCCATCCTCATCAGCACTCGGTGTTGTCTGATAGGCGTGTGTGTGTCATTATCTTGTGGACTTAATTTGCATTTCCCTGATGATTAACGAAGTTGAGCGCTTTTGCACATGTTCGTTGGCAGTTTGGAATACCCTCTTGTGAAATGCCTGCTCAAATCTTTTGCCAGTTTTTCTGTGGGGTTGTCTGCCTCTTCCTCGTTAGTTGGTGGGCTATATGTATATGTGCGTGGGTGTGTTACATATAAATATAAGTATATATTCTAAATAGGTATGTGTGTAAGTTCTTTGTCAGCGATTGCAGGCATCTTCTCTCACTCTATGCGTCACTTTTCAAATTTCCTGAATAGGATATCTTTGGATGAACAGAAGAAGTTTGGAATTTTGATACAGATGACTTTATGACAATCTTTCCTTTAGGGTTACTATTGCGTGGTTTTATTTAAGAAATCTTTTCCTGCTTCAAGGTCATGAAGACGTTCTACGTTTTCTTCTAAAATCTCGCCGTATTTATGTATTTGTTTGTTCAGTTTATTTTAACTTTCACATTTAGATGTGCGGTCCATTTGGAATTGACTTTGTAAATACTGTGAGGTAGGGGTCAAGAGGTTTTTTTTTTCCCTGTATGTGTATATAATTGATCCAGCGCATCTTATTAAAACAAAACAAAACTAGCCTTTCACGGCACCTGGTCCCCTTCAGATGGGATGAAAGGAAACCTTGTTAGAAATGGTGAAATGATGCGATGGAGTCTTTTAATTCTTTTTGAATGTATTTGTTTTTTATATCTTCCAGGTTGAAGAAGCCAAGTGTCAGAATTCAGAATTTGAGGGAAACCTGGAGGTCAGTAAATTCAACTTTCGCTCTTTGGGTTTAAGCTCACAGAGTGACTGGGGGTGGGGCGGGGTGACTGTGGCCTCAACGGTAACTGCTCTGAGCAAAAGAAACTCCTTTGTTTTGCCGGTTATTGCGAAGTTTCGTTTGAGGAGCTAAAGTCAGATCATGGGGGCCGCCATCCAAGTCTTGACCGCGTACAGAATTTGGCAGAGAATTCTATTTCCGCGGGATTCAGAAGCAGAAAAAGAACCGCCCGGTAACATGCCTCGTGTGTGTTTGTCTCCCCTCTCAGGGTACAATTTGCTTCATGGTCCCCGGCATCCTCCCCGACACTCTGAACACAGTGAGAATCCGGGTGAGGACGAATAAGCTGTGCTACGAGGACGACAGGCTGTGGAGCAACTGGAGCCAGGCGATGAGCATAGGTGAGGGGACGGGACCTCGCGCGCCACGGAAACCAGCGAGGGGCCGAAGCGGAAGATCGACTGGGGGAGGGGGCGGCACCGCATTCCCGACATCCTCCAGGGGAAGCTGCAATCGCACTGCATTTGCTGTTCAATTACAGCCAGATCACCCAGGTTTAACTCACACCGCGTAGCCCTTTGAAAACCCATAATCCAAAAGGCGTCACTCTCTCTCTCCTGTCCTGTCTCTATGTTTTTAACAACCTGAACAACATACCAGGAGGCGGGCATGATGAAATCCATAGCTCGTGCTTTGCTAGAGGACCATCCTGTGGGCTAGTGACAGAATCAAGAGTAGAACAGTGACCTTGATGGCGTTTGATAGAGATCAAACTGTATCCGGGTTTGAAGACAACAGTTTCGTGTATCAACGGAGTGCCTGAGCAAACTGGGTGTCAGGCCCAAGAACAGGATTGGAAAGAGCTGTGTTTTTAAAAAAAAAAAATTTTAATTTTTATTCATATTGGGAGAGAGAGAGACAGACAGAGCGTGAGTAGGGGGAGGGGCAGAGAGAGAGGGAGACACAGAACCCGAAGCAGGCTCCGGGCTCCGAGCTCTGAGCTGTCAGCACGGGGCCTGACGCGTGGTTCGAACCCACCAACCGTGAGATCATGACCTGAGCCGAGGTCGGACGCTTAACCGACTGAGCCACCCAGGCGCCCCTAGAAAGAGCTACGCTTCATGGATGTGTGTGTGTGTGTTGTGGGGTGGAGTGTAGGAGTGGCTCAGCATTGGATCCTTAAATACCCCCAGTGTGTAGCCACAGGCCGCAGTGATAGTGTAGCACCCAGAACAAGGGGATACTACAGGGTGGGACACAGTGTCCTGGCCACATCAGAAGCGTGCAGTGTTCTATTCTGGGCGCCACATTGTAGGAGCTTCATTGGCAGATTGGAACCTATCCTTGAGAGGGTCATCGGGATGTTGAAGAATCACAAAACTTAGGGACAAGTGGTTGGATGAAGCAAGCCTGGGGGTGAGGAGTCCTGATTACTGAATTTTAAGTAGAAGAGGAGATAGGTTATTTTCTTTTGTGGCTCCTTGGGGCAAAATAGGACTATCGGAAGAACTTTCTAATAGCTCTCTGACAGTCGAGAGACAGGTTATTGAGGTAATCGGTTCCCTACTAATTGAGGGACTGAGCAAGCTAGGTGCCAGGCATGGTTGTATTCCTTATCTATTGTTGCATAACAAAGAATCTCAAAATTTGGTGGCTTAGAAAACACATTTAGCATCTCACAGTTCCTGTGGGTCAGGAATCTGGGCACAGCGTGGCTCAGTGCCTCTGTGCCAGGTTCTCTCATGAGGTTACAGTCAAGCTGTTGGGTGGGACTGCAGTCTCATCTGAAGGCTTGATTGGGGCTGGGAAACCCACTTCCAAGCTCACTTATGTGGTCGTCGGAAAGCCTCTGTTCCTTGCTGGCTGTTGGTTGGGGGCTGTGGCAGGTTGAATCGTATCCCTCAAAAAGATATGTTCGGCTCCCAACTCCTATACCTGTGAATGTGACTTTATTTGGAAATAGTTTTTGCAGATGTGATCAGGTTAAGATGAGGTCACACCATTAAAGTAGACCCTGCATCTGATGGCTAGTATCATTATAAGAGAGGATACACAGAAACACGAAGAGACCTCCTAGGGAAGAAGGCCCTGTGAGGATGGGGGCAGACGATGGAGTGATGCAGGTATAGCCAAGGAACCCCAAGGGTTCCCGGGAGCCACCAGAAGCTAGGAGGAGGCAAGGAGGGATTCGTCTCCAGAGCCTTCAGAGGGAGCACGTCCCTGCGGATACCTTGCTTTTGGATGTCTAGCCTTCGGAACTGTGAGAGAACACATGTCTATTGTTTTAAGCCAACCGATGTGTGGCGATTCACTCCAGCAGTGGCGATACTCTCCAGTAGCTCCTAGGGAGCTACTGCAGAGGCCTCCCTCAGTTTCTTGCCCTTTGGGCCTTTCATGCAGCGAGGCATTTCATGCCTCATGAAATGGCGGCTGGCTTGCTCAAGCAACTGACTCAAGCAAGAGTGTGTGAGAGGACACCCGGTGTGGAAACCACAGTCTTTTGTAACCTAATCTTGGCAATGACATGAACGCTGCCGTTCAGTTCTTTACAGACAAGTCAGTCAGTCCGGCCCACCCTCAAGGGGAGGAGGTTACGTAAGGGCGTGAGTATCAGGAGGCAGGGATCATTTGGGGCCATCTTAGAGGCTAACACAGGGATGCTAGGCCCTGACGATGCTTCCTAGGTGGTCATGCCCTCGTGGAAAAGATGAGCACGTAAGCAGACATGACATTCTGCGTGTGAAGCGTAGCAAGTCAACTTCTCAAGTGATCGAGAAGCTTTGGAACTTGGACGGTGCCGGATTTGAGGTCTGACTTACTAAACCCTTCTGAATGAGCCACTAACCCTCTCTGAGCCTTATCCTTCTCATCTGTGTAAACGGGAGACACCATCGTCTCTCTCCATAGCATACGTAGAAACACATCGAGGCACTCCGGGCGGTATCACATATGTAGCAGATGCTCAGTTAAAAATAGTAGTGGTGGTAGTTAGGAGTGCCTTAGGTGTTCTAGTAGTGGTTAAGTGACCAACAGGAAGAGAGAGTCACTGTTAATGACATGATCTTTCTAACAGGTGTAATAGCATTGGGAATAGTGTCTGGAACTAGTTAAGATACCCTGGCTTCAGACAACCCTCAAGGTGTCTTTTCATCTGTGGCATGTTGGGCACTAGAGCAGGACTTTGTTTTTCTAAGGGAACAGAAGATGAGATCATTGAAGCGTTTTGGGGGCGCCCGGGTGGCTCAGCCGGTTAAACGTCCGACTTCAGCTCCGGTCATGATCTCATAGTCCGTGAGTTCGAGCCCCGCATCCGGCTCTGTGCTGACAGCTCGGAGCCTGGAGCCTGCTTCGGATTCTGTGTCTTCCTCTCTCTCTGTCCCTCCCCTGCTCACAGTCTGTCTCTCAATCTCTCTCTCTGTCTCTGTCTCTCTCTCTGAGAAATAAATAAGCATTAAAAAACCTTAAAAATAGAATTGAAGAGTTGGAAAACAGGTTGGGGTAGAGTGCAGAGATAGCTGCGATCTCGCTAGTTTGATCCAACCGTTGCTTGTTGTTTCTCCCCCCCTCAAAAGGGTTTGATTTCTCATGTCTTTTTGTTTGCTTTCCGTTTGCCAGGTGAGAACACCGACCCCACGTTCTATATAACCATGCTGCTCGCCACCCCAGTCATCGTTGCGGGTGCCATCATAGTCCTCCTGCTTTATCTCAAAAGGTGAGGCGGCCGCCCCGGTCGGCTTGGCGGCTTCTGTTGGCCCTGCCTCTCCAGTTATTACTGTTCGTGAGAGCGTTTGGCGTTCGCCCCACGTATTAGGAGCACTTTGGCTATCAACGGCTTTTGGTAGTATGGCGCGGCCCAGAGGGATTACCGTGCCCATTTTCTGGGGAGGAAGGTGTCGCGTTAATTTCCCGCGGCCCCGCTCCGGCACCGTTCCCTTCGCGTCTGTTTGGGATCATCGACAGGCCCCGTGTTCACCCTGCTCTTTCAGATGCCTAATACGGCCAAAGGCGGTAGCGCTTGGAATGAAGTCTTAGCGTGACGCATTCAATGACCCGTCCAGTATTAATGCAGGGCAAGCTGCTACTTTAAAGCTGCGGGAAAGAGAACTTCGCCAAGTTGTCTCTCTCTGGTCGGTAGAGAGACGGCACTCGGTGCGCGCCAGGGGCGAGCGCCAGATGAGGCTGGAGAGGTTGGCGGAGCCAGATCATGTGGGCTGTGGTGGGGGAATTGAGATTTCGTCCTAAGCATGAGGGGGAATCGTTGCAGAGTGTTAAGCGGGGAAAGGAACCCGCCCTGATTTTACTGTCATGAAAGGTCACCGACATTGCCGAATGAAGAACTGGCTCGGGCAGGAACGGAAGCGGGTGGGCTGGTCAGAAGGTGCTGCCGCGTTTTGGGGGGTAAAGACATGGGAAGCCTGGCCTGGGAGGTTAGTGATGGCGGTAGTAAGACGCGGTCAGAGGTGGGACACATTCGGAAGGTAGAGCTGAGAGCGCTTGCTGATGGCCGCTTGCCCGTGAGGCCCGAGGGAAACTGAGGGTTCACGGAGAGCTCAGGTTTGGGTGAACGCTGGAGCCGTCGGCTGAGAGGGAGAAGATTGTGCGGAGCGCTGGCCCTGGGGCAAAGGGGAGGACTCAGTTTGGAATGTCAGTTCCAGATGACTGTTAGACACCCAAGTAGGGATGTTACAGGGGTAGTCGTGTGATGAATCTGGAGTTTCAGGGAGAGGTCTGGGCTGGAGATGGAATCTGGGGAGCCCTCGGCATGTAACTGGACCCAAAGCCCTAAGACTGGAAGAGAGCGCTCGTACAGTGAGAGGGCCAGAGGGCGAGAGACAGAGCCCTGGGCCACGCTGATGTTCAGAGCCTGGGAGATGAGGTGGGGCCACCAAAGGGTAGTCTGAGGCATAAAGATGGGGAGAGGAGAAAAGAAGAAAGTAAAATTAAAGAGGAATGAACCCTGTTCTCGGAAGATTTTTTTTTTTTGAAATTATGAGCAATGAACCCCCATCTGGCCTATGATGAGTAAAGCACCGTTATTATTCAATTATAGGGGACAGCTCACGCGCGCGTGCGCACACACCCACGCACGCACAGTCATAACCGTGTGAGGTGATGGATGTGCTAATTTGCTCGATCGTGGTCATCGTTTCATAACGTACAACATCATGTTGTTCACCTCACGTGTATACAATTTTTTTCCCTTGAATAGATCTCATTTAAGCTGGAAAAAACATTTGTGGTTTTTTTCAAATTTATCTTGGGGGGCGGGGAGGCGAGCGAGCAGGCAAGCAGCCTCCGCGCTGACGCAGGGCTCAGTCTCATGAACCACGAGATCATGACCTGAGTCGAAATCAAGAGTCAGACGCCTCACCCAGTTAGCCACCCAGGTGCCCCAAGCTGGAAAGCAGTTTTTTTGTTGTTTTTTTGTTTTTTTTTTTTAACATTTATTTATTTTTGAGACAGAGAGAGACAGAGCATGAACGGGGGAGGGGCAGAGAGAGAGGGAGACACAGAATCGGAAACAGGCTCCAGGCTCTGAGCCATCAGCCCAGAGCCTGACGCGGGGCTTGAACTCACAGACCGCGAGATCATGACCTGAGCTGAAGTCGGCCGCTTACCCGACTGAGCCACCCAGGCGCCCCTGGAAAGCAGTTTTAAAAACGATGAGAGTGGGGCGCCTGGGTGGCCCAGTCGGTTGGGTGACTGACTTTGACTCAGGTCACGATCTCGCAGTTCGTGGGTTCCAGCCCCGTGCCGGGCTCTTTGCTGACAGCTCAGAGCCTGCAGCCTGTTTCGGATTCTGTGTCTCCCTCTCTCTCTCTGCCCCTCCCCTGTTCATGCTCTGTCTCTCTCTGTCTCAAAAATAAATAAACGTTGAAAAAAATAATAAAGTGCCTTTGTTTAAATGGGACGTTCCTGTGGACTGGAAGATTTGATCAAAAAATGTCTCTGTTTTCTTAAAGGCTCAAGATCATTATATTCCCTCCAATTCCTGATCCTGGCAAGATTTTTAAAGAAATGTTTGGAGACCAGAATGATGACAGCCTGGTAAGCACTGATTCCATGAAGTTTGAAACTGGGTTTTGTTCGGAGGCTGTGGGATTTGTAAAAAACAAAAACAAAAACAAACCCAGAAAATTTGCCGTTTTGACCCTTTTTTTTTTTTTTTTAAATTTTTTTTTTTCAACGTTTATTTATTTTTGGGACAGAGAGAGACAGAGCATGAACGGGGGAGGGGCAGAGAGAGAGGGAGACACAGAATCGGAAACAGGCTCCAGGCTCTGAGCCATCAGCCCAGAGCCTGACGCGGGGA